AAGTTGTGTGTTGTGACATTCCGTCCCCCTACAAGTTGTGTGTTGTGACATTCCGTCCCCCTACAAGTTGTGTGTTGTGACATTCCGTCCCCCAACAAGTTGCATGTTGTGACATACCACCCCCTACAAGTTGCGTGCTGTGAATGTATAATCGGATCATGGTGTTATTTTCGCTTCACCAAGTAACAACACCATGTCCCACATTTCACGAAGGCTGACTTAACAATTCAGCCGTAAGGAACAGAAACTTTCCCACTGCTCCTTTCCTTTTTTTTCTTCCGTCTTTAATTTTCTCCGCTGCCTTTTTAACCGCTTTATAAAGATATGCAGCCGGGAGGGGGAGGGGGGGGGGAGCAGGGGGTTCCACATTGTTGGATTTCACTACTGCTGCTTAAGTCATCTTTAATAGATGTCACTTTTATTAAAAAATAACAACAAAAAGAAAACAACAGATAAAACTCCAATAAAAAATATAAAAAAAACTAACGGAAAAAGTTTTAGTTCTGCTCTTGAAAAAAACTTTCTGGAAAAATGGTCTCAGGTCGGGTTATTGTCCCTGCTCCCTCCACTGGCTACATTACAGTCTCCCACAAACCATCTATTATTTGATCTATATGTATACTCAAACTTATTTGTAACATAAGCATCGTTGAATAGTAACTTTTATACGGCATTTGAGTGACTAAATCCACTGTTTAACGCAGAAGTTGAAAAGTTGATCTATCAATGTATCTGCAGTAACCCCCCCCCCCCCCGAGAGAAACTGAGATTTTACCCAAGTAACCTTCTAGATTCTAGGGTCTGTTACAAAGCCGTTTAGCCATCCAGTGAAGTCGGCCTTGTCCTAACAAGGGGGGGGGGGGGCTAACTGTGAAAGGGAACGTACTGACTGAAACCCAGCATTCTTATTTATCTGAGCGTGGAGTTGTGAAAAGGTGAACCTTGGCCCAACATGGTTCGCAACCCAGGTGAACAGAGACGTCATTTAATGAGATTCAATGTTCTCGTGAGGTCTGCAGATCATGTCCAAACCCGATCTTTGGATAATTGACGAATTCAATTCATCTAACAGGAAAAAAAAAGAAGAATTTAAAAAAAAAAAATTATATAATCGAAAAAGCAAATCAAACAGGAATCTGGTATCCATGAATATGCAAATTAATCTGAGATAATGAATACAGGTATGTGCAGATAAATCTGGGTTAAGAGGTTCAGCAATTTGTAGACTAAACTAGGCTGGGTTCGATTGGGGGGGGGGGACCTGACCTGAATTTTAAGATAAAACAAGTTCATCGAGTCAAGAAATGTGCAGAACAACAGGACATGAACAGGATGTTGGTATAGGGGAGGGGGGTTGCGTAGGGGAGGGGGTTTAGAAATCAGCAGCACCAGTGAATAACTCAACAAACTTTTGTTTAGCTTTTAACAATTTTAGGTTACGTCCCTTTTTTTACCCCTTTTTAAAATTTTTTGGTTAATTCCCTTTTTTTCTCCCCCCCCCCCCCCCCCCAACCTCGTATAGGGTGTGTTTGTAATGGGGGTTATCTTCCCTTTACAGTACAACGTTCTCCAACACACACACACAATCCATTGAGTTCTGTATTAATTAAGATAAGCCGTGGTTTGTTTTTCTTTAAAAGATGGCGACACTGTTATTGAACAGGCTTTGAAGGGAATTACACAACTACCATTTTGGGTCTAAGATTATTTTGTGTAGAATAATGATCTACGTAATTTTAATTGGCACTATATGCTAGGTGTGTACAAAAAAAATTGCGCTTGTCCGAGATATAAGCATCTGAATTTGATCACCAAGCCAAAATAAGTGAATA